GATGCGTGGCTTGTGAAGATGGTGAGAGACTTTCACTTTGCACCAAGTTTCTGACTTAATAGTTTGTTTCTTAATTATGGGTGTTCATCACATCCCTGTTGGGTGAGATGTTTAGGTTTTGAGGGTTCTAAGCCAGCCAATAGAGTCATGAAGTCAACCACTGTGTCAATGTTGTGCTTCTGGGTGGTTGTGTCCTTCAGCACACATAAGACACTCAGCCAGCTGAAAGAGATGAGCTCAGAGATGTTGGCTCGGAGGAAAAGAAGGATCACGTTGAGGTCATTGATGGGGCATCCGAGCATCTTTCTGCTGAGGAGATCAAAAGCTGGGAGCATCTCATAGACGGATAGGAGACGTTTGTCCCAACGACATAGTCGTGTGAGATTGTATATTATTACTGGAACCAATAGGGTGTATATTGCCACACTGGAGAGACTAACAATCTGGAATACAGACAGGGAAGTCAGCCTGCATGTGATCAGATCAGGGATGTGGGTCTCATCGTGCAGCATCCCTGTCTTGATGGAGCAACTGAATTCTTCTTGGAAGAAGATGCTCAGGTGGAAGTGACCAAGGTACAGGTACGTGGCTGATGTGAAGAGGAGCAAGAGGGAGTTCTTGAGGAGGTAGGCGGCCACTAGTGAATGTGAGCACTGCTTACATGCCAGGTACCGCTCGAGCAAGGGAAATTCAAAGTACCGTTCTTTGCGGGCCCTGGGCAGGGGAAGAAAGGAGGCCAGTGAGGAGCAGCAGTTTGGAACCACACCCTGTGGGTCATGTGGAAGGGTAACATCTGAATATTCCATCGGATATTCTTGGTTCACATGGAAACCTGCCATGCCTTCACATGATTGTCCCTCCAAAACAGGTGTGTGAGTATACATTGACTCTCCAAGTAAAGAGTACAATGTGGTAAACCCAGAGAATGGTCACGGAGTATGAATGGTCACAGGAATTACGCCCCACAAGGCAGACTAAAGATCTAAGCTGCAGAGGGACTCCTAAGAAGCAGTGGGCTTATAAATTAGCACAATTCTGGGATGCTAAACAAGTATGTTTTGATTCTTGGCCTGTGTATTTCTCTGTGTGATTTTTGGGTCAGTGGATTCATTTTTTGTACTAGTAAATATTTGTTGAGAGCTGTGGTGTTCAGGTACAGAGAAGCTGGTCTCTGCTCCAAAGAAGCTTCGAGTCTGTCTGTTGGGGAAAGAGTAGATAAGACATGCAAATATGAAACAAAATTAGCAGTTGGTTTGTTGCTAAGTTGCTGGGTGTAAACCATAGTAGTTACGAAAGGCAGGAGCTAGAGGAGCAGTGCAGGTTGGCGTGTTCAGCATTTATGGAGAAGATTGGCTTAGAACTGGGTTTCAAAAGCTAAAGAACTGAAAACAGGAGGCTCACTAGAGTCCTGTCTGTGTAGTGAGACCCTGTAGACACTGTACTAAATACATTAAAAAAAAAAGATGAGAACTTTTTGAGAAGATACACTATGTCAATGAGCATGAGATAATCCAATTTCCAAGTCCTGGCCTGTCAGTGGGCCCACCCTGGTTACCTTATTTAAAGCTGTTGTATATTCCATCTACTTTCCAGATACCCTTCCCTTGCTTTATTTTTCTTCATAGCACTTATATCCAAACAAATTTTCCACATGGGTTTTGTTTATTTGTTGTCAGTTTTTCTTTAAGACAAGCGTGACGTGTACGGCTATAGCTTTGGTGCCCCAAACCCAGTCCCCAGAACACATGCACTAATGTATCTAAAGTACCCAGGATGGTGCCTGGTATGAAATAAATGAATGACTGGATGGATAAGTGATATATTAAAGTAAAAGGAGGAGGTAGAGTAGAAGCTTTCTGTCATCTAGTGTAGGTTGAATATTTCTTCTCCAAAAATTCTTAGGCCAGAAGTGTTTCAGATTTTGAAGTTTTTAAAAAATTATTTACATAGAATTCACCAAGGATGTTTAAAAAAATTGT